TTAGAACTTGAGAAATATAATTACGAGGTGGCCTATCAAAAGCTTAAGCTTTTCCAAGAAATTGCCCGTTTACAAGGCTATTTTTAAGCCTCCTCAAGAACAGGCTGTTCCCAAATTGCTTTAATACCTACTAGTCTATAAAAATTATCTACCTTATTTTCCATTCTCGGAAATATGTTTAATAATAGTGAAATAACCGTTAATAAATATTGCTGCTTTTGTTGTACATATATTTTATTATAACAAATAAATATTACTTGAAGGCTTGTTTTCTTCGCTAATTAACCTGTTTTAATTACTCTTTTTACTTTATTGGCTTATATGTATAAACGGATATTTAATCAAAACGAAAGCCTTGATTTATTTAATAAATAACAAATGAATTAACAAGTATCCAGTTCAATAAAATTAAACGAAACATGAGAAAAATTTATGAAATTATACGCACATGTTGCCATGCTGTAAAGAAAACGTGTCATATACAACAATATTTGACCCATATTAAATATTACTTCTGTTACTTGCAACATTGTGATTCAGAAAGCAAACGCATAACAGACTGCACGACTACAAAGACGAGTAACACTAGTAATATGTGACAAAGCCGAATAGTTCTATTGTTAGGGACTTCGTGCCTACATAGTACAGATACAATGCGGCTGTTTTGTTTGCTTCGTAACTATTGTACATAAATAATGTGTAAGAGTAAACAATATACCGGGTCCATCTAAATTACATATTGTCTTATCTGTATTTCATTTGGATAGAGAGTCGATGTTCCAATAGTATGCTATCCGCTTTTGCTTTCCCTATATTAATTAACTAATTACGAGTAACGAGCACTTTTTATTTAGCCATTTTGTAATATGCCGTTTCGCCGCGTATTACAAATTCTTCAAAATTTTAATCTCGCTCGATCCCTTTCGTTATTTTTCTTTCATAATATGTACATTTTGAAATTATATCTAATAATTTATTGATGAAATCCATGAATTTCTTTTTAATTCGTTTTAATATGTCTATATGATTTTTTAAAATGTATGTCATTATTTGGCCGCGATTGAATAACCTCAATACAGGCATTTTCCTAAATCGATAATAAATTGGCTCGTAGATCCGATTAATTGCAACTACGATTACAAACTTCACAGCAACTCCAAATTTGTATCGAATTTAGGAGCAATCACTTCTAAATTCGATACAAATTGGAGGATCCATTAGCATGTCTAATTCGGATTAGATTTGAGTCAAGTCTTAAACTAATTTGTTTTTGTCAAGGATTATAGCTATATATTATATACTCCTTAAATTTAAAATCTAATATGTTTTAATCTGTACATTAAATTTATATTCGTAATATTGTATATTCGTATTCGTAATACAGTATCCTGTTTGTAGTTTCTGTACTTGAGGTATTATATAAATATTTAATTCATATACAAATATTTAGACATAACCTTTATAAACGGTTTCTAAATAAAGCAAGTATCTTTTATTTTTAAATAATATGCAAATTCCTTCTATTTTGCAGTTAAACTTTATATAATACATATATTAATTAAGATAAAATAAGTCAAGACCTGAGACTTCCATGCGCATAGAATAAGTTAAACAAATAGGGGCCTGTATTCCCATTGGGCGTATAACTTAGCCAACATTAATATGATATAAGGATGACACTTTTGTTATATATTATATTAATTAATATTCTTTCCTTTTATTGTTGATAATATAAAGAACAATAGATCAATTTATACAACTTCTAACTGATGGAGACTATGGCATATGCTTTTAAAATAATAAAATTAAAAACAAAATTATAAATCACAGAATTGTCTCAGATTGTACTTAGTCATCATATCAATAATTCAAAATACAATTTTACTAGTATAGTTATAATACACCCTTAAACTTTCAATGGTAAAAGTGAAAATACTAATTATTAGCGTTTACTGATTTCAATCATTTGCGTTTTAAAACACAATGTAAATATAGACTAGAACTAGGAATTAATGAAAAAAAAATTGACGTTAAAGGTACAACTTTTTGAGTTAATCTAGTGGGTGTGCGATATATGTGCTATGCAAAGTTTGCATTTCTTGTGCAAGTGGAGTCCGTAATGCCGTGCCCCAGTTTGCAGCCGCATTGCGTGGGTCAGTCAGTCTATAGTGCGCCAGTGCGCCACTTTGGTAAACCACACTTTCTCTTAATACTTTTTCACTTTCACTCCCCGATCACTTATATGTTAATGGCTTTTTAACACATTGAATTGTTTTTAATAATGGAATTTTAATCAGATTAACAATTAGCAGTTCACGAAATATACTTGCTAAATGTTATTTCGCTTGTTGTAAATGGTTTTATTGTAGTAAAAATATTTGGTCGCTTGTATACAATGGAAATTTTAAATATTTTCCTTAGCTTTCACATAACGAAATGTTAAATACGAAGTTAATTGTATTTTATATTAAACAACACAAACTTTTACGTAAATATTATTAAACTATATAAATATTATTGCAATGTACTGCCATAATCCTAGAAAAACTTATAAGTAAAATGTTAAGTAAATTGTATAATTTGTTGGCATTTTTCATTATAGAAAATAGCTTACGAACAAGCTTTGCAAGCAAAATGTAACTTTACAATCATTACAACAAATTCGTACAATTTTTGTTTATTTTTTATCTATATTTAGGTGTAATAGTTTATTTATTCGCCAGAAAACCCGTTAAATAGCCACGGTAATTTATTTCAAGAGTATTTAGACTACGTCAATAAGAACGAATAAACAAAATGGATGTTGAATAATTTCTGATGGATTAAAAGTAGTTTGTATTTGACAGAACATGTCTCTAATATTGATTTATTATATTATTGAAAGTATAAGAATAATATTGCAACAAATACCTAACAAAAAATTCTTTCTTTATTCGTATTCGTAATACGAATAAAGAAAGAATTTTTTGTATGCGTTTTAAATATTACTATACAACAAGAAATATATGTTATTTCTCGAGTTTATTTGTAGTTTCTTTTACATGTGCGACAAAAGACAAAATAAACGTCAGAGTACAAATATTTTATTTGCTAAATCATAAACGTAATACTCGTACATATTACAAAAGCCATTTCATTAACGATGTAACATAAAACTGCGTTCGTACAAAGTCAATAACAAACTTGACTGTGAGTCTGACTCACCGCTTTCCCTCGTACTCTTGCAGTACAAATGTAAAGTTTTAATTAACATTTCAAAACTTTCTGTTAGTTACAATTGTTTGTTTTAATTCTGCCTTTTATAGCGTATATAAATATGCACTAAAAGTTTGTTTAGCAATAAACATAATTTTATATTATTAAAAAAATTTTACACAGTATTTGTCTTGTCTGGATCGACTATTATATTGTTTGAGAATAGATCGTAGGTATTTTTATACCTCTTGGTGATAAGGGTGGTTGTTCAGAAATAATTCATATGGCAAAACAACGTTTGCCGTGTCAATTTATATATATGTAACTTGATATATATCTATAACTTATTCTAATTTGTATTCTATTTATTATATGTAATGCTTGTAAAAATATGTACACGTAGTTCGTCAGAAGCGCAGTGATTTTAATAAACAGATTGTTTGTCAATTAAGTGATGACACAGCGCTTTGTCGAAACATAGTTTTCGCTTGTGCACATAAACAGTTCAGCCGAGACCGATGTCGGCTCTTTACCCCACTTTCCCCCCAAATTGAGGTTCTCTCCCCACCCATGAAACTGCCCCATTTCGCCCGTGTGTTATGAGTCGACGTTCTGTGCCCCCCGTCCTCCATAACCCTCCCTAGTTTCTTTCGCATGTTTTTGCTATTGTCTGTTATGATAACACACGGTCAGCTGAGCCAATAGTTTTAACCAGTTTCAAAGAGACTACGACTTATAGTGTCAAACTTTTGTCTCTTTATGTCTTTTGAGTAATGTTGTGTTTCGTTTTATAAAGGACTGTTCTTTTACTGGTTGTAACTGTTTGTATATCTCTGGTCAGGTATCTTGCGGAAATATTGAGTGCTCTTCAATGATTTTATGTTTTATAGAATTTAATTTATTCCTAATATTTACAGTTTAAAGGAATATAAGTGATGAAATGAAAAAAAATGTAATATTTTATTACCACTGTTATATTAATGATATTGAAATCAATGTTGCATATTTAATGCTTATAAAAATCCCGAATAAAGGAGGCACAAATAATATAAACTGACGGCGTAGAACGCACTACAAATGATAATGCATGCCTAACAGTGGTTTGTAATTAATATCTCGCTATTGTTTATACATAACTCGGAAAAAAATGTACTATTGCTCATTCATATGTGAAATGGTCTTAACAAAAAATAAATAAAACTAAGATCTCTATTAACACGGACTCGGACTGTCATTATCGGATATCAATCAACATTAGTGCATTACAGCAAACGGGCTTCGGCCAGTCAGCATAATAAGCGGGCGAGGTGCGCTGCCAACTAAGCAATACGCGCCATGTTCTTGCCGAGTCCAGTGTGAGTCAGCATTATCCAACGTGAACCATGACTCATCGGTTTCGGGATCGCCCGCCGTCAGCTGAAATAAGAGGATTGCTGCTTCACGATTGAATGATTCCATTTTAAAGAGCGCTCTGTGATGTCATTACTCCGAACGCTTACGTTTGATTAAATTTCTCTCAGTGGAACACTGTTTATTTTCTTTATACAACTTACTGTTGAGACGGTCTTTTTTGCCTCAATAAAGTTGTTAGCGACGCGATTATATCTCCAAAATGGGCGCTTAAGATTAGACGGTGGCGCAAATTACTTTTTAATGACGATACCAAATTACCTGTAGCGTAATCTATTTAAATTGTTTTTCGTCTGAACACGTCAATCGTTTCAGTAAGACCTTTATTTCCTAAATTGGTATAGATTTTTACCTTTATTTTATGATATCTTACAGTTAAAATCTTATTGTTTCAGAGAGTAGAGCGTGAGAATACGAAGAGTCCAGCGAGCACTGGAGGAAGGAAGAAAATAGCTGTAAAAAGTAACGGACAAATTACATCATCTGATCCACACCCACAGCCTGCAGGTTGGTTCCTATCATTTTTATTCTGATATTATTTGTTATTCTAACTTTTAAAACATTTGAATTTATATGTAAGAAACTGAATCATTTAAATAATATTTATTTACAAAATATTGGATATAGCGAATCTTACATTTCTTAAACAAGCGTTTTGTAATATTTACCATTATCACTAATGACTATGTCCATTACATCCATTATTTCCATAGGTTACATACCTATGTAATGGACATAGTCATTCCTCAACTGTTCTTTTGTACCAACGGTAGATTTACAGTCATTATTTTGATTATGAGATCGTTTACACTAGATACTGACTATTATTCCAGAAAAATCTAATTTAGGTAGCAGATACATACGGTAAACCTAATTGTTAGGTAGTATTTATTTTATCGCGTCCTTTTTTATGTACATATTACCATATCGGCGTTTCTTAATTGACAGTTGTAGAAGAGAAGGACGATGCTCTAAATATATTTAGCTTATTATTTTCTAAAAGAGTTAACGCTCGTTTTACTTAATTACGAAATAATGTTATTACTTATTTATTTCTAAATATTTTTAACTCTTTCATTTACCTTGGTAATAAATAGCAACTATCATTAGTTGCTATTTTCTATATATATAGAAAATAGCATATATATATACATATATATAGTCAGTAGTATATCCTATCGGCTATTAGACATACTAATTTGTTAAAGAAAATACAAGAACTTCCTTATTTTGTATCTTCTCGAATAACTGAAAATCGTAAATAAAATCTATAAGTGCTAGAAATTACTCCGTTTCGTAGTACTTACTCAAACTTTGTTTAAGTTACAGGCTTTGAAATCTCTTAAGTTATAAGATGAAGTTTGGCTGACTGTACAATGGAACTGCAATAGTTTTAACTTCTACAAAGTGATTCAGCAGACTTGCACTGACTGTGCTTATATGAATTCAGACAATTGTATTATTGAAATTGTAATTAATTTTGTTTATTACTTAGTGTATTGTATTTAATTCACCATAGTATTTGTATATTTGAAAAGCAATTTGCGTCCAGAACAGGATATAGACTGTTTCAATCGGAATTGCTACGTATTACAGTGCCTACGTGAGTTAGTAACCAAAGCTGCTAAAGCCCGATTGGGTCATTCAAGTGCCAGACTAATGGAATGGGGATCTAGAATACTCGGATGTTACATATGCTTATCCGAATGGGCATAGAATTAATAATGTTATTGCTGGCTATAAAAGATGGATAACTTTGATAACAGAAATAGTAATAAATCGTAGTTAATAAATAGGCATTTACCGTGGAAAGATTTTACTATTATTAATGATAAAGTTATTTTATATTATTTGCCCGTATATTTAAACCACAACATAATATGGTTGAAGGTTTACATAAGACTTATTTGAAACTTGAATTTATGTTTAAAATTCAAATTTATAGACATAGGAGAATACTGAGATTATCTTGCTTTGTAGTGCGTTAAGTACGTAGTAAGTTGTTGTAGTTTATTTACTTTAATTTTTAATTCATACTATTATTATTATAGTCTTTACTGAAAGTGAACTGTGCCAGACAAGATATCAAGTATATCTTCTTAAATTTTTACAGCCTTAGAGTTATGTGCTTAATGGTTATTTGGCATAGTAGTGCTGGAACACAGCCAATTTCTCACATAAGCAGGTTAATGTCTAACCTACGTTCGACATTTTGCCGCTACACTTACTTTTCAACATATGCATATTCTCGTGGGATTACTTCAATAAAATTTGATATGGAAACGTTTGCATATTCTCCAATATCAAGTATTCAAACAATTGGTATACAATGTCAGTTGTAAATTGGATAGTATTACTTATCATAACCATAAATAAAATTATATAATTACAATAATATTAAGAAATATTTTTGGATTAGCATAAATCATTCCGATTGGGTGGATATTCAATATGCAATATTTGATCGGATTTTATATATATATAGAATATAGTACGCAAATATAGACTAATAAAAATTTCAGGCCATTATCTTGAATTATTGATTCAAAAAGTAATATCGTTCTCCCTCGGAGATACATACAAAATATCATCAGATTCGATTCAACCGTGAAAATCATTCTGAATTGCAAAGTTACTTTCACATTAATTTATATTAGTATGGACACACAGCATTAAGCTTCTTAATCGTATTTTTAATAGGCTTAAAGCAAATGTAAATGGCACTAATTTCGCATGTGTAAAATTAATGTTTGGAACATGCTTTTAATGAATTTATGTCGACCGTAATATTAAGAACAAAGAAGCAGATTTATACAGATACATATATTATTTTATTCCCCTAGAACACAATGATGTCCTTTGACTAAAATAATGTTCACGATAAAATCTTATAATACGTGCTTTCATGTCTTGCGATCGCTGCATGTGACAGCATTGTGACGTCAGGGGTTGGGTGTCTGTTAGGGGGTGGTGGAGACGTATATCTTATACGTATGGAAACTAACTGATGCATCTACATATATGTTGTAATGATAATTAAATGTGTTGAAATGGTGTAGTAAACAATTTTTTTTCAATTTTAAATAAACCCACCTATATTCGCCCTCTGGACCTGGACTGGAGAGTTAAAATTCTTGATTCCGTTTTGTTGTCGATATAAAGTTAATTATTATTTATTACGTGATATCTTTGTATATATGTGTATACGGTTTACTTCCGTGTTTGTTCTATACCTTTCATTACTTCATTGTTTCTTTTGACATACATCTCACACATTCGTACATGTTATAGTTCATTACTCCCATTTTTCTATACAATCTGGTGTAATTTCTCAAACAAATTAGTATGAAGATAGTTATTCTATATAATTATGATTTGGATTAGTGCCAAGGCGTACATTCAACAAAGTTAAGATATTCGCATGTAGAGCTTTGAGACTCAAAGCTCTACAAGGAAGGAAAGCATGTCTGTAGTTGTTTAGCAACTATATATTATTGTCTTCAAGTTATTTAAAACTTGGGATCCACTTTGTAGCTATGACAGGTAATGTACACACATTTATTTTCTTACCTTTTTCTTTTTGAAGTCTGATTTGAATGTTCACTGTTTTATAAAAAATCTATTGGGCATTGTTTACACAAAAGAGGAAGTCAGATCAACAATTTGTAAAAAAAAAAGTTACTTTTGTACGCTTCTAATGAAAACAGTCATTCAACTCTAATAAATGAGTTCAATAAAACTTTTCGGAGGTACTTCTATGTTTTTAATTCATACACCTAAATGTTTCAACTCATTGATTAATTCAAAGTTAAACCAATACTTTCCTGTTTTTGTGATACAAATCACCTAAAAAGTTTCGTTTCACTGAAATAAATTAAGCTGTAACCTTAAATCAATAAGGTGTAGTCGTAAAATTCAGAATCTACTAGACTAAGTAAAGTGTAGCTTCAACAAACAAAATTATAAGAATTCACTTATTGTTTTTTTTTATTTTACTAAACTGCTACTGTATTTAAATGTTACCGTAACCATATTTATATATAATAGAATAATTCAACCAATTCATGTCGAAATACATAACGAGTTCTCTCTCTATAGAATTACACATATATTTTAAATATTCCGTTTTTATGAATGAGGCAGCCGTTGATTATTCTCTGAATAATTCAAAATATATTAAATTTTGTAGCCTCAGGGTAATGTATTTACATAATAAAGAGATGGAATTTCGCATCTCATGTTTAAGGCGGTAAGCGAGTTTGCATAATTGTCCTAAACGAGACAGACTGTTCAGTCCTTTAATAACACTCATTTTAAATAATTTTGAATAAGTACAATTGAGGAAAAAAATAACTGACTATATTTTTTTTTATTAATTGTTAAACTAGCGACTTGAGCGAAAAGTTAGTTTAAAATTGAAATTTACTATCAGCTTCTTTGAATAAGAGAAGCTGATAGTAAATTTCATTCAGTTTCTTTTATTCAGTTTCTCTATTTTATGATTAGTTAGATATGTTTAAGTCTTTCTAAACCATTCCAAATTTATCTTTTCTATGTAACTGTATATTTGTATAGTTCAACTGTAAAATTTATTGCGACGATTATTTTACTTTATTTGTTACCTTTGTAGTAGAAACGCAATATCCAAAACATTTTACTTATAATGTAAGAGTGAACTGTAGTGTCATTGTCGTTCATCCCCCAAACTTCGGTCACTTTCGGTCGCGTGCCAGCGACCTGCGTGCTATCAACTTTTAAACGTAAAACTAGTTAAATTCCCAAGGTTGGCACGGATAACTTCGACGGTGACCGTTCAACAATACCATTTTACATAATTGGGAATGTTTCGTACCGTTTCGCTCCACAAATACTTATTTGGTAGTCACGTTTCGTAACCATACAATCAAAAGTTTAAAGGTCGTCTCCCGTAATTACTCTTTGTAGTTGAAAGCCATTCATTATTTTTCAATAGTATCTTTTTTTTAAGTTTTATTACAATTGTTATTGTGACCACATTCAAATAATTAATGTCTTGTAATATTTACCACAAAATTAATTTACCTGTCAACATAATATGTTATTGTATTCTACAACATTATTGTATTCTATAGAAATATTCTTTTATTTGGCAACTTTTTGTTTTTTATTTTATATACCTACTTATTTTTAGTTGAGAATTAGTATTTTTAGATCCTTAATTAGTTTCAATGTATTCAGAATAACTTTAGAGCGATTCGGTCTAAAGAATACCTGCGCATTATTATTTTCCTTGTTTTTATAGACTAAACAAAAACAAACTCAAAACTATTACATAAGGAATATCTTCATCAGAGAACTGTCTGATATCGATTCATTTAGCTACCTATGTATCTATGATACTACTATTGTCTCTGTTAACAAAGGATCACATTCAAATACACGTATTGTGGTTGGTGCTCAAAGCGACACGCAACCAGCGACAGGCCTTTGTGCCAGTAGACGGAATTCGGATATTGGATAACCTTCCT